GGGAGGCTGCTGGGACCTGGAGGCATAGAAGAATGCTGTTTGCTTGCTGGGACTTCAGTGGGTAGACAGTGAAAGTTTTCTTAAATACGCCACACCATTCTTCCAGGAACTCCTAGTTGAACAGGCAGAGGGCAAAGAATAAAACTTTGAGCGGGTGTGGTGGCTCACGCCTGTAATACCAGCGACTTAGGAAGATGAAGCAGGAGGATCACTAGTGCAAGGTCGGCCTCACCAAGTTAGCAACTTGGAGACCCTGTCTAAAACTAAAAAGAAAAGAAAAGAAAAGCAGCTGCTGGAGTGCAGCTCAGTGCCCCTGGGATCCTCGGGTTCAATTCCTGGCATAGAAAGAAATAAAAGGGAGGGAGGGAGAGAGGGAGGCAAGGAAAGAAACCCTTGAATCCATTTCCTAATGGAGCCACAACCTCTGCTCACTCCCTTCCCCAACTTTTTCAGGAGCCACGGGGGCTATTAAAGTGGAGGGACCTGGGCTGAGTGTTGTGGCTCACTGGTGGAGCGCTGACCTAGCACGTGCGAAGCACTGGGTTCAATCCTTAGCACTACATAAAAAATAAATGGGTGAAGTAAAGGTATTGTGTCCATCTACAACACACACACACACACACACACACACACACACACACACGGAGGGAGACCTGGTTTCTAAAAGCATTGTCTGAATGTATCAGCATTCTCAATTCAGGCTATCTCTAGGCACTGAATTCCAATTTCAGAGGTTCTCAAATTCACCAAAAAGAATTGTATCACAGGAAGAAGTTCTATTGTGCCAGTGAAGTGTGAACAGTGACTTTCTCACAAACATTACTGTGTGTGTGTCACCTGTCACTGCCAGTATCACCCACTGCAGAGGCTGGCTGAGGTGCAGGACTTCACTAGGGATGGTATTAGGAATATTAATGCAACCCAACTCCACCACCTAATAACCCAATTTTTCTTCACCTCTCCACACACTTCATCCTTTCCTAAATTATTTCTAAGACAGCTGGTGCTTGCTTCCCTGATAACCAACACCCTACTGAACCCTGAGGTCCCAGATTAAAAGGCATTTGATTCCAGTGAACATCTGGGGGCAAACAGAAGTTTGTGCACACAGGAGTAGTGCATCTGGAAGGTCCAACACAGCTTCAAGTGGTTAAGTGACCACGTTCTACTTCTGACCCTTCTGTAAAGTGGAACAATAATCCCTCTTTGAGGTGTATTTTAAGGATCAAACAGAAATAGAAAAAATGTTTTTGTTTTAATACTGGGGATTGAACCCCATGGCACTCTACCACTCAGCTACATCTTCTGCCCTTTTTTCTTTTAGTTATTATTATTATTTTTTTAGTGAAGTTGGACACAATACCTTTATTTTATTTATTTATTTTTATGTGATGCTGAGGATCGAACCCAAGGCCTATGCATGCTAGGCAAGTGCTCCACCTCTGAGCCACAACCCCAGCCCTTTCTATCCTTTTAAAACAGGGTTTACAAAGTTGACCATGCTGGCCTTGAACTTGTGATCCTCCTGCCTCAGGCCCCAGAGTAACCAGGATACAGGTGTGTCACTGTGCCTGGCTTTTATTTTTTAGGGTGTTAAAGTTAGAATGCAGGGCCTTGTAAATGCTAAGCTGAGCTATACCTTCCACCCTGGAATTGAGAAATCTTTGCAAACCACAGAATACCATTTCAGTCTTAAGCATTTTTATTTGGCTATTACATGTTTATAAGGGGGTGGTGTTGGGAGGAGACACCAGCTCTGGTTAGTTAGGCAGAACCTTCTTGTGCAGATGTTCTGGGACTGGGGCTATTGAGGGGCTCTCCATAGCTTTGGGAATCCAAGGCTTAGTAGGAGGTAGAGAAAAAAGATGTCCTGGTTTAAATCCCCAGTACCATACAAAAGAAGGAAGAGAGAGAATGACGGAAGGAAAATAAATGGTAGGGATATTCTGAATTAAGGCAAAGTCTTTCATAGTTAAACTCATCTGAAAGATGTGACCAGAGAGGAAAAACCAGAGGACTGATTGTGGAATGATAGAGTTGTTTGGTATCTTACAAATCATTTAGTGTGTCTCCCAAAATATTTTATGGATTGAGATGCTGAGGCCCACAACAGGACTTAGTACTAAGGGGTGGCCTCTCTGCTCATCTTCTGCAGTACAGCAGAGAAAACAATGACTAAAGCCATGTGCAGTGGTATGTGCCTGTAGTGCCACTACAGGCCTAGCAGAAGGAGGCTGAGACAGGAAGATCACTTGGGTCCAGGAGTCGGGAAGTCAGCCTGGCAACAGAATGAGGCCCTATTTCAAAAAAATACACCTAGTGGCTTGGGAGGCTGAGGCAAGAGGACTACAAGTTCAAAGCCAGTCTCAGCAACTTAGCAAGGCCCTAAGAATTTAGGGAGACCCTGCTCAAAATTAAAAATAAAAAGGTGGGGAGTGGTTCAGTGGTCAAGTGCCCCTGAATTCAATCCCTGGTAAAAAAAAAAAAAAAAAAAAATCAACAAAAAAATAATGGACAAGAATGTTTGAGTTTTTAGAACTGAATGCAGCCTTGGGTGAGATACTTAGCTTCTCTGTGCCTTTCTCCTCAATTACAAAATTAGTTTAACAATAGTACTTACCTGGTGAAGTCATGAGATTAAATTAGGCAACAAAGGAGGGCTGAGGGTGTAACTCAGTGACAGAGCTCAGGATCCTAATGTACAAGGCTCTTGGTTCAACCCCTAGCACCAAAAATAAATGAATAAAGTAGGCAACATTAAAGTTTCTGCTTGTCGGTGTCTGGCATAGTTAGTACTCAATAAATGTTATGCTTATTTTTATCCTGTGGACCTCATCTGCCTTAGGTATAAATTGAAAATGTATATCACTGATTCTTCTGGGGAATTTGCTTCCTCTTTTCCTCTGTGAGTTGCATGAGAACATTAGGGACCTTTTTCTAATGCCCATACTTAGCAGACTTTTACTCTACCCGCTAAAGCAGGGTTTTCAAATGATACCTCCATGGAATGTCCAGGCATAGTTTGTCAAGATGAAGATTCCAGGGTCCCAGTGATTCTGAAAGTAGGTTCAAAGTTGGCCCCAGGAATTCCAAGTTTTAACAGATGCTTGACACAAGGAGTCTATAGATTCTGTGCAATGGGTGGGGGAACCCCTTAAAATTCTCATTTCCGGAGAACATAAAAGCTAACATATCCCATTTGTTAGTGGACCACAGGATATCTACTAACTTTTACATTCTATGATTCTCAAGAGGAATTCACTCTCTTTACATAAGCACTGCTATCCACCTAATTCTGCTCTGTCCTACCTTTCTCCTCCTCTTTTAACTGTAAACCTTGGCTTAAAATTCATTCCTCTGTCCTTTAAACCTCTTGATAATCCCAAGTAGCAGCAGCTGAGGTATGCAAGTCATGATTTTCACCTCTTGGGACCCAGCTAAAAGGGGCATCCTATGATTGCCAGAAGAGTATGAGTCCTAGCTGCAGATTCATCAATTATTTACAGAAAAGCCGGGAATCATAATGGGCCAAATCAAACAGGTAATTCAGTCTGTTTCAGTGTCTTCCTTTTGCCAAGGGAGCAATCCCTTTAAAATAAGAGCAAGGCAGAAAGGCCAACTCCCCACTTCTCCCAAGATGTGAACATTTCCATTAAACTGGGTCTCTGGGACAGGTAAGTTTTTGTTTTGGTACTGGGGATTCTATCACTAAGTTATATCTCTAGCACCTTTTTAAGACAGTCTGGCCTCAGCCTTCCAAGTCACTGGCATTACAGGAGTGTACCACCACGCCTGACTAGGTAATTTATTTTTATCTTTGACAGTTTTTGGCTGTAGTGAGGAACCTAGAACTTTGAGTATCTTAAGGGATGTTAGTATAATTGTCAGAAGGATAAAGTTGAATTCCTGTGTTGTATCCACTATCCTTAATCCCTGTTCAACTATTAAACTCCCTGGGAGACACTGTGGCTGAGGATAGGACCTGTTGAGAAGTTCTACAAAAAGAACTGACTTGTCTTGTAACGGGAGACATCATGAAGCAGAAGGGAGAAGGTAGGTAGGGTACTGGAAATGGGAAGAAAATGGCTAGAGTGGGGACTCCCAAGAGCAAACCAGTTGGGATACTTATGCCTTGGCTGTAGTCACAACATAAATGATAATTAGCATCATCAATTATGAATAGCATCAATCTCAGGAACCTACAGATGGGTTCATCTTAGGAAGAGGAAGTTTATTCTGTGCTGTCTGGCCTCTGCCCAAGGTCTGGTACCATACCCGTCTTCAAGCTCACAGTTCAGAAGGGCTAGGGCAGTTATGGAAGAGATGGCAGAAAACATAGCTAGGGACTGAGGGAAGACCAACAATTTTTAGGAATCAGGATGGAGGTATCAGGATCTCTTCCAAAATTTCTCAGATGTAAATTCTTCTAATTCACTCACCAATGCCTCCTTTCCTTCCACCAAAAACATATGACTGTACATGTGCCCCAGCCTGTCTTAGGGCTCATGACAGGAAATACTACCGTCCTTGGTTCTGCTGGGGAGGTTGTGTGAATGGCTAAACTTCAATTGTAAAAAAAAAAAAAAAAAAGATGCTTAAAATCCAAACCACTGCTTTATTGTGTGGCACTCAACAGTGGTGCCCACCCTGTTTTTCTCAAGTTATCCTCTCATCCAGGGCTTTCTGGCCTTTTGAATATCAAAATCCAGTATGGTGTCTTGTTTCCCTTTCTCCGGTGCAGGGGAGGGTTCATACAGAGGCCTGAGAACTGACAGTTCTTTCTTTAAGTGGTCATGGTGAGGAGCATGTTAGCACAGTGGAGGTCCCAGGGTGGGAGAAATAATGGGGAGAGCATAGGTTACAGAGGCTGCCCCAAGAGCGGGTGGGAAATGTAAGGGCAGAGGCATTTATTGAGCTTTCACCCTGCAAACTGGTCCAAGAATTTAAGGTAGGCCTGGCGCTGGGATGCAGCTGCTGGAATGAAGTGGCCACCAGAGTGAGTGAGGGTGATGGCTCCAGGGAACTGGTTAGCCAGCTGTACACTCTCCTGAGAGGGGATGACACGATCAGTGTCCCCGAAAACATGAAGTGAAGGCATTGACAAACTCCTCTGCAGGATGGGTTCCTTGAGGCCATGGCCCCTGGGACAGAAACCAGATACAAGGATGATAAATCGGGGCAAAGGGAAGCGCAGGTCTCCTGCTTGGCCCAGGGCACACACAAGGGCTGCTAGTGCAGCCCCCTGGCTGAACCCAAGAAGTCCGTCAAAAGGCCCCAGCTTGCTCAGTGCCTGTGCCACCGTTTCCAGAGATTCCTCCAGACCTCTGCACACCGTGGGCTCTTCCAGTGCGGAGAAAACGTTTGCCTCCTCTTCGGAAAACCACCAGCCTCGAGGCTGCTCCTCAGGAGGGCAGGAACCTACGGGCATAATGGGGAGGAGAATGGAATTAGGGCAACGGGGAGGGGAGTGAGGAAGGAAGGGAGGGTATGGAAATAAATAACAGGGAAAGATGTGACTAAGGAGAGAGCGACGGTGGAGACCGAAGGAAGAGGAGGGAACAGGGAAGGGGCATACGGAAAGGGGTTAAGGGGACCAGGCAAAAAGACCCTGTGAGGGCATTTCCGGAGCTGAGCTCGGCTCACCGGAGTCTGGCCCCCCGCCCTCGGGGCCCTCCGCGTCGGTGACCGGGTGCGGGCCGCTGAGGCACACGAGCTCGGCGCGGCCCCGGAGCGCCTTCCTCAGCGCTCCAGTCTTCTCTCGAAAGCCCCGCTCGCTCTGCCGGAAGCCCGCCAAGCACAAGACCCGTAAGGGTTGCCGACTGGCCATGCTGCCCGGCAGTGGGCCATAGGAACACCGGAAGTAGGTTTTCCCCGAGCGGAAGTAGAATACGCGAGGGGGCGGGACCAAATGGCTACACCACCCTGAAGGCGGGTCTCGGAGAGAGCGGCTCCCATTGACAACAGAGATGAGTGGGGCGCGGCCAAAGTAGGGCGGATACCTGGGAACCAGGGGCGTCTCAAGGAGCCAGGGACGCCACCCCGTCTCTGCAGCTGCACCCCTCGCAATCTGAGGCTGGAGAGGGGAGCGTGGACACCTCCTGCACCTAAGGTTGCAGACTTAGATCAGAGTCTCGCTTCTACCACAACCTCCACCCCGCGCCGGTGCATTTCCCATCGTGGCCACGTGGCGGCGGCCTCGGCTCACGGTACCAGGAAGGGGGCCTGAGCCAAGGCCGCGCCCAAAGGCTTGCACTCTTCCCTCCTTGAAGTCCTGGCCTTACCTTCCCCGAAGCTGAGCGGCTGGGGCCTTGGGAGTTTAGGTCTGGCTGGTGATTCACTGTCCAAAGCCCCAAGGAGTTGCCAGCGTAGAAGTCCATGGGGTAGGGCTGCTGCCAGGAAATGTTCCTGAGGGCCACGGCTGCCTAGTGAAGGAAAACCAGACAATAACATTTGCTGATATTTTTCTGCTCCTGGATCATTAAATCACTCCTCACGACAGCATAGGAAGGGTGTATTATTCCCATACTGTAGAAAGGAAATATGAGGCTCAGAGTGGTTAAGGAACGTGTCAAAGGTCACACAACAAGGACTGCTAAGCAATTCAAGAGTGTCTGAAGGACCAGTGGTAAAGCACTTGCCCAGCATGCATGAGGCACTGGGTTCAATTCCCGACACCACATAAAAATAAAAACAAATAAAATAAAGGTATTGTGTCCATCTACAACTAAGAAAAATATCTTAAAAAAAGAGTGCCTTGGGCTGGGGATGTGGCTCAAGCGGTAGTGCGCTCGCCTGGCATGCGTGCGGCCCGGGTTCGATCCTCAGCACCACATACAAACAAAGATGTTGTGTCCGCCAAAAACTAAAAAATAAATATTAAAATTCTCTCTCTCACTTTCTCTTTAAAAAAAAAAAAAAAAAAAAGAGTGCCTGACTTCAGAACCTATGAACTATTGCTGTCCATCCACCCCAATCCAACTTTGAGCCCTCCCTTGACTGAAGAATGTACAAAGTTTTCAAACACAAGTTTTTCTCCCGTAAGTTTTCAAAACCTGGTGTTACCTCATAGGGTGTAAGCAGTGGTTTAGAGAAGGCTGTACCCCAGTCAATGGAGAGGCGTGGACACGCCACCTGCACCCACCTGGGAAGGGAAGCCAAGTTACACTTAGACGGGAAGCATGCTGAAGAACATGATTGTCCCCAATATACCCAACAGTCAATAGGGTTTATTAATCCTAATGTAAAGATTCACCTACCACTATTTAGATGCTGGATACTATTGCTTATTTTCTCCTATTTCCTCCATTGACTATAAACTTTCTGAGGGAAACTCATTTGTAATAGTATTCTAAGTTTGGCCCCGAGGAGGGCCAGGTAGGTAAGGTAGGGAAACTTACACATCTACCTCAGGAAGTAGGTTGAGCTTGCTGGGGAATATCTCAGACAGCAGCAGCCTCACAAAAGGAAGTCCCAAGGCTTGGAGTTGAGATTCCAAGTACTGTTGGGAGAGGATGGCTGAGTTGGGGTACCCATGATCAAGCAGTCAAAGCTGACTCTCTGGGCCTATAGATTTTCCCACATGGGTTTCCAGTCAGTCCCTCCTCAAGAGGCCACCCTAAGCCCTCTTACCTCCAAGATCTTAGGACTGCCTTGGCGGCCCAAAGTGCCCAGAATAAGGCCCCAAGATTTGGCGGAGCGGGCAGTGGCTATGGCTTCCTGCCGAGTGGTCTGCATGCACTGGTGGTCGTAGTGCTCTCTGGATAGGACTTTGCTGTATGGGTCATACCTGTAAAAGAAGCTTGCCAGAATTACTGTGACAGCCACTCCCAGGATTCCTGCTATTTACATGGCTCCCAACTCAGGCCCCAGACAGAACACGGATTGTCACTGGGACAATCAGTCCCATAGCTGGAGCACGCAAGGGATGGGGAGTATTTTAGGATCTCAGTGTGAATCCTGGGCGGGCAAGAGCAGCCCTGGGTCTAATGCCAGATGAAGGACCCAAGTGCCTCAGACCCTTAGGACTGAGGCTGGTAAGTGGCTAAGGAATAAGGAAAATTTGTCCCCTTGAGGGCCTCAGGGACAGAGAATTTCACCCCTCAATAACTAGTCAGCCCAGCCCAGCACATACCGGTAAGCAGGGACATTGGGGTTGGCAATCATGACAGACTCCAGATGGAAGCGGCCATCTCCAAGATACCTATGGGGTGGAAAAGGCTGTAAGTGTGGCATGGCGTAGCAGGAGAGGCACTCTGGCTTAGAAGCACAGGCCTGAATTCTCAGCTAGCTGTTCATGCAGCTATATATAAACTAGACAAGTCGTCATTTTACCTCTTGGGGCCTTGGTTTTCTCTCATGTAAAATAAGAAGCTTGACGTGGACAGCTGTAAGACCATGGTATATAATGTAGAATCAAGAACTGCTCTACCCCAGCCTTCGGAGGAAGAGTAAAAAAGCAGCAGAGGACATGGCAAGCATTCCCGGGCTCTAGACAGCCTAATTTGGAAGCAGAGGGACAGATTCTCCCTGACCAAGCTCAATACAGATGTGGAAAGTAGTGACCAGGGAGTCACATAGGCTATACATGAGATTCCAGAATATACACTGGCTCCTCTGCCCAGACCAGCTCTTGGGTCTAGTACTGAGTGGTAGTAACAGCTATTATTTCTTGGATTTGTGATTTCTGTGCTCTAGGCCTGGACTAAGTGCCTGATGTGTATGAGCTCACTCAGTTCTATCAAACAATCCTCTAAGATAACTACAGTGTCTGCATTTAACAGAACATATAACTGAGGTTCAAGGGTGTTAAGACACTTGCCCAAAGTGATACAGCTCGTAAGCGATGTCTCTGAGACTTAATACCAGGTATAACCACAGGCTGTACCAAGCATGCCCTAGAAGATGCTGTCCAACAGTACCTTCCTAGGCCATGGAGATTCCCAGAGCATGGAAGAAAACAGGCCATGGCAGTGATTCTCTCCTTCTTGGAGACCATACCTCATTTTGGTAACTGGTTGACACTGAGAGTGTCCCTCCCTCAACACACATCTTGAAGCCCCCAAGGGTAGGCATCTATCAGCTCAGAGTTATACAGGCCCAGGCACAGGAGTAATGCCCCTCAGGAAGCAGGACTGCCAGGTCTGAGCTGGGAAAGGCCTGAATGTGGACCTGTCTATGGATATGGGTGTCCTGTGTGCATGCAGCAGGCCTGTGGGACAAGCATCCAACACAAGGGTGGGGCTGAGTCAGAGAGTGCCCCTCCCTCCTTCTCCACCATTAGCTAGGAAACAGGGTTCCCCTCCCCAGTCCCAGCCCGGGAAGCTGTCGGCTCTGAGGCTGGCTGCATTCACACAACATTAAGCATTTCCATTACCTAAAATAATTAGGCAGCAGGAGACATGCTGCTCCTGCTTGTTAGCTGTCCGGATGCTAAATTAATGGGGCTGCAGCCTGGGTGTGCCCATCCATCTTCTCCAATTATATTGCCACCATTTCTAGCTCACCCTCCTCCCCCTATCAGACCCTCTGATTCTTGTCCCCCCTCAGGCATAGCCTTCAGCAGTGGAGAGGGACAGAAAACATGAAGGCTATAGCATCCCTATTTGGTCCCATCTTGCAGAGTGACCTTGGGCACACAGGTAAGGAGCTTTAGACCCAGTTTCCTTTTCCTATATGATGAATCTTCCTGGGTACAAGTCTTCATACACACACACACACACACAAATATATATATGTATGTGTGTATATATATATATATATAGTAGATGAACATAATACCTTGTTTATTTATTTATTTAGGGTACCAGGGATTGAACTCAGGGGCACTTTGATCACTGAGCCACATCCCCAGCCCTATTTTGTATTTTACTTAGAGACAGGGTCTCACTAAGTTGCTTAGCGCCTTGCCACTGCTGAGGCTGGCTTTGAACTCGAGATCCTCCCGTCTCAGCCTCCCTAGCCACTGGGATTATAGATGTGCCCCACCATGCCTGGCTATTTATTTTATGTGGTGCTGAGGATGGAAACCAGTGCCTCACACGTGCTAGGCAAGTGTTCTATCACTGAGTTACAACTCCAGCCCCACCTGGGTACACTTCTAATGTCTCTATGATGTGGCCCCCAGTTTTACTTACACAATGGCTTCCACCTCCTTTGGCAGTCGGGGGGATGTACAGCCCAGAATCTCCCCAGGGGACAGGGGTTTGCACTGTGGGACAGTCATACGATATTCAGCTTTCAATTCCTGGGCAGCTGACTGTAGGGATGAGGGAAGAAAGCAAGTGGCTAGGGAAGGAGCCAGGGCACCTGGCATGGAGATCCAGAAACAGCCTAGAGAGTGGCTGTCTGTCCCACAGGATGCTGGGGACCTTTGTCCCACTTACCTGCAAAGTTGATACAAACTGAATGGTGCTGACCAGGGCAAGGGCACTGGCTTGGGGAAAGGTGAGGCGGATAGAGTCCAGGAAGTGGGTAGTGTCTATCCGGATGTCCACAAAGACATACAGTACCCGGAAGTCTTGGATAGAGGTGTCCATGGGAACTGAGGGTAAAGAGTTCAGGAAACTGTTTGAAAAGCAGGAAGGACAGAGAACCTGGCCTGGTCCCTGGTTTCTAAGCAGCCAGGACCAGGGTTTCAGCCTGGGAGAATTGAGAGGAAAGGGAAGGAAGGGGTCAGAGGTCCCCTAGAAGCTCCTTCTCTGTCACTCAGCTGGGGGCCCAGCCTGCTCTACCACCAAGAGCCTTTCAAACACCCGCATCTGGGACAGCAGCATGGTTTCCAAGGCAACCATAACCAAAGGAAAGATCCACCTGCAGAGCAGGAAGGCCAAGGCCATCCCAGAAAGTAGGAGGGTCCTCATGACTGCAAGTGGGACAAGAAGGTACTGTGCTGGAGATCAGTGTGGATCTGGCCTCCCTGCCAGTGTCCAGGTTTCTTGCCCTGTTATACCAAGGCAGCTGTGGCCATAGTGCACCAAGAAGTCAGCTCCCAGGGCTCTTGCAGTAAAGTCATCCACACAGCAAGCTCCATAGGTGACATCACCCATCACCATCACTTCGGCCTCTGTGAACCTGTAGGGGTAAGGGTGAGGAACAATGAGGCAGTGACACAAAGAATAAGGTAGGGGAGAGTCCTAACTCTGTGGAGGTGTCCCAGGGCCCAGCTCCTCTCTCCCCACCTCTTTCAATTCCTTGGTTTGGCAGCTGCCATTTCTGCCAACAAAGAGTAGGAGGGGCACAGCTGCCACCTCCCTCAGCCCTGGCAGCAGCTCCTGGAACAGTTGTTGCATGAGATGTCTCTGCAGCACCCTGACTCCTCTGCCTGAGCTCAGACTGCAAGAGGGACCCCCAGTCCCCAGCTGATCATGCATGGAATCCAACACGGACCCCTGAAGTCCTGGCTCATCTCACCCAGGGCTGTGAGCATGTACACACAAAGGTCCCTGCTCCCATGTGGGATACATGGCCCTGGATAGGCTGAGCCTCCCTCTTGCCCAGACCCCTGCTACCTGCCCACCCAGAAGCAAAGCCCTGGGTGCCCAGGAGGGGGGACCCATGCACAACCCCCCCACAGCACATGGCATCGCCCACATGCCTCAGGCATCAGGAAGAGTGGGCTCTGGCCAGCACATTGCCATGGGATCTGTAGGCCTGAATCACTGGCGGGTGGGGAAGACCCTGCACCCACTGAAGTCACCACAGGAAAAAGCAGGAGGCTGAGCTCTTCCCTCAAAGAGTCCCACACCTGGGATGTGGAACATGGATCAGTGACTGGGGTCCCCATTTCCTCCCCCCTCAGCTTTTTCCTCCTGAAGGGCAGTAGGGAAAGCTGAGCTGCTGCCAATCAGCCCCCTACTCCGCCCCCTTCCTCAAATCAGGCTGTGCACAGAAGCAGATTATTCAGCTCCTTAGAATGCAGCCCAGGCTCTGAGTCAGCCAGAGCACTTAATTTTTTATAGATTAAAATGTATGCAAATTGGCCTGAGCCCCAGAGAGCATCCCCAAGGGGCAAGAGGGTGGGAGCAGGGAAGTGGGTCTGCAGCAGCAGGAAGGGGGGACAGGTTGGGGGGAGGGCAGCAGCAGGGAAGTGGGAGGCTCCCAGCACGAGATGACCTCTCCCTTCTTTATTCCCCCTCCTAGTGCCTGTGCTGGTTCCAGATGGCTGAGCACTCATCCCCCCCAAGATGGCTCATTGTATTGAAGAAACTTAAAAAAGGAGGGGGTGGGGGTAGAGGAACTGAATACCTTTCTCAGGAACCTCCCTCCTCCTGCTCCCTGAGAAAAAGATGCCTCCCCAGAGAGACCCCCCTCGGCCCATTTCAGGGTCAGCTTTGAGTAGTCTTAGATTCCTCTACCTCACGATCTAGGACTAGCTCTGAAGAGACTAGAATTAACTTCTTCCTCTTGCTCAAATTGTATAGAGGAGGAGAAAGACAAGTGGGGTTCTCAGCAAGCTGGGAGTTTTGTTTTGGATTGCTCCCTTTGTGTATGTATGACTGTGGGAAGAGAAAGGGAAAGACAGATGTCCAGAAGGGGAAAATGATGTGGACACTCAGGCTCTAAGGGGCAAGGAAGAATCTTAGCTCAGCTTCATCTCCAGTATCCCAAGCCTCACCTTTCCAAGATATCCACAATGGTGCAGGCGAAGAGGAGGAGGCCTTCAGGCATTTGCAAGGCCACTAAAAGACAGAGCAGAGACATGAGGCAGAGGGCGACAAGAGGCTGCGATGGAGACCCAGCCCCATGTCTGGCCAGGCAACCTTTCTACTCCACCTTAGCTCAATGTGTGGGGGCTCACCCTTCTTGGCCTGGGCTTGTTGAATCCTCCAGATGGTCTTGGGGATCTCAAAGTTATAGTTGGAAGGCAGGACTTTAATGGCTGTCTGCAGCTGGGGGTTGTTCAGGATCTCAGGGGGTATCTGATTGGCCAAGCGCCCTCGAGAGGTCCGACCTAGGACAAATATAAGGCCTGAGTTTATGTCTGACCTAGATCATAGCCAGATCCAGCATAGCTGTTAATTCCAAGTTTAAGGCCCAGATCCCACATACCAAGAAAGTTGGCCCAGATTTCTTCCCCACTGAATTTATCCTCAAGTAAAGAGACAACCCATTAAACCAGAAGAGCATCTGCAAGTTTCCATGCTGTGAGATTGGGAATCAAAGACTTAAGTTCATGAATGGGGTATGGCTCGCTTCTTCTTTATCTGAGGAGAAAAGAGGCAACACCAGGGGGCTGAGGAGAAAAGGGGGGCCAGTCTGAGTCCACAAAACTATTCCTTGATAGGGAACAAACGCATGGAAAGCCCAAGAGCCTATCTAGCCAGGCCAACCAGTCTGAGAAAATGTCCATCCTTCCCCAACCCTGAGAACACTTAGAAGTCTCAAGGTCCTAGATATGAGATCTATAAGTAAACTGTTACTAATTTAAGACTGTGCCAGGTGTGGTGGCACATCACTGTAATCCCAGCTACTCAGGAGGCTGAGACAGGAGGACCACAAATTCAAGGCCAGCCTGGACAATTTAGCAAGGTCTTATCTCAAAGTAAGAAATAAAAAGGGGTGGAGCTGGGCACAGTGGTGCACACACACAGTGGTGCACACCAACAGCTGGGGGGGGAGGGGTGTGTGTGTGTGTGTGTGTGTGCTAAGACAGGAGGATCCAGTGTTCAAAGCCAGCCTCAGCAAAAGCACAGCACTAAGCAACTTGGTAAGACCCTGTCTCTAAATAAAATAGGGCTGGGGATGTGGCTCAGTGGTTGAGGGCCCCTGAATTCAATCCTCAGTACCCCCCACATACCCCCCACACACACACACACAAAAAGGGCTGGGGATGTAGTTCAGTGGTAAGCATTCATGGATTCAATTCTCAGTACCAAAAAAATAAACAAAAGATTGCCTTCCTGAGTCCCACTGACTATGCCCACAGTGGTTAATTCTCGCACTATTCCCTCTCCTCACTTAAAAGGGAAATAAACAACATAAATTACATTGACTTAAGTTCTCTAGTCTTATTGTTCCTCCTTACTCCCAACACAGGAAAACCAGAAAGAACGCTAGTCAGGACTGTGGAATAACAGGTAAGGACAGAGAAGTGACTTTGCCCTTCAGAGCTAGAAGTCTACCGGGGGCAAAAGAGACCTATACAATAACAAACCCTTAAATAAAGGAGAAAATATTTAGTTCTTTAGTAGGACTGCAGCCCTTATTCTGGACTCATACTCTCTAAAATGTAGTTTAGGGTTGGGGATATAGCTCAGTTGGTAGAGTGCTTGCCTTGCATGCACAACGCCCTGGGTTCAATCCCCAGCATCACTAATAATAATAATAATAAATAAAATGCTGTTTAGTTCAACTCTTGTGCTTCTCTTTGGGAGCCACACAGTTTGGGAATGTGAAAAGGCAAGAAACTGATTTCTTCAAAAGTACTTATTGAGCCTGTACTATGTACCAGAACTTCTACTCCAGCCCATATCTGTGCCTTCACCCACTGTGTAGGGGGAGTCACAGCAGCTCAGTAAATTCCTTGGCCGGGCAGGAAGGGGCAGAGAGGAACTAGCCTTGCAGGCTGGGGCTGAGATCAGATTTGAATGCTACGACTGTTATGATTTTTCGGTTAGTTATTTCAAAGCTGTGAGCCTCTGGTAGAAATCTCTTCTGACAGGCCCAAGTCTTTGTGATCTTGGGTGGGTAGGCGCCTCCTACTCGTCTTGTTTACATCAATTACAACCTGTAAGACCGAAATCCTGAAAGAAGCTGTATCCCAGTGCCTGAATTTAATACTGTCCTGGCACTCAGTGGACACTCCTTTAGTGCCCAGTGAATGAAACCATGCGCCTCTTCCCAGAAACATTCCTTCAGAGGCCACTTGTGAAATGCCCGCTGCAATCAGCCTGACCCCTTCCCTCCTCCTTGGGTCCGTCTTATTCGTCAATCTAGTGTCCGTCTGCCAGCCAAGGCAGAGGGGTGGTTTCCAACGTGAAGACTACGAGCTTCTAGGAGGGGCTGCTCTCCACCGCGCCCTAGGGCTACGAAAGAAGAGGGGGCCCCTTGAGCTCTGGTGACAGCCGCCCAAAGCGAGTAACAGCGGAAACTTCCGGAACTGGCGAAGAAAAAAGGCCAGGGCTAGTTCTGTCCCTCACTTGGGGGCCCCATCCTGAGAAGCGAGGTCTGGAGGCTGCAGAGTTGCTGCACCCACCTCTGCCACGGCTGTTTCGGCTGCCTGGCTCAGCCGACTCCGACCCGACCAGAGCCGCCATCATGGTCCTGCCCACGTGGGGACCAAAAGACAGCACTAAAAGAACACCGAGGGAGCAGGCAATGCGAACGATCGCCGACCGGCGAACGAGGGGCGGGGATTCCCTCTGGGCGGAGACCACGAAGGAGGAGATAGGGGCGGGGCTATAGTGGGTCCGGTCTCGGGTTCGGAAGGTCAGGACTCAAAGCGTCCAAGTGATCCCAGACCACCGCAGTTGCCCTCTCCCTGCGACCTTGTCCCCCACTCCCCTTCCTGGCCTGGCCCAAAGCTGGCGCGCCCAAATCAGTGCTCCCCTATGTGCCTGCGTGAGTTCTGCAGGCAGAGTTTTACAAAAGGGGACACCTATTGGGTCTCCCTGTGGCTCCTCATTCTTACTCCCCACCTGGCAACGAGTGGTCTGCCAGACGCCGAGTAGCTGTATTCGCATTCCCTTCCTCAAAGGACCCCACTACTCGTGCAGAAGGGAACTAATTCAGGCTGCCAGCCCAGCTCCAAGTTGAGAACCTTGAATGCGTATTTCGGGAGCATCCCTGGTGCCCTTATCACCTCAAGAGATCACCATATGGTAGGTTCACACAGAAGAAGCTGCTGCACTGAGAAAGACCTGGAGCGTTTCCTGGAGCATCCTGAGGATTCCATCGCTTAAACTTTCTGTATCCTTGCCCCTTCCCCCTGTGTAGGCTGCCCCTCAGGCTTAGCTAGCCTTTCTTCTGATCAGTGGCCAAAGATCCTGGGACCCCAAAGAGAAGGCACAGCAACCAATGAGACAGAGTGGACCTTTGGAAGAGCAAAGTGGATTCAGGACTGGACCTCAGCAAAGTCTGCCTCCCGGACAGTGGTTGCCCCAGAACTATTTGCCTCCCAGCCCCCTGCACATTTCCTCTCTGTATAGAGCTACAAGCACAACTGGCCCTTTAAGGCAGCTCTGTGGCCTCAGGCTCCCCTGGAGGCCCTCCCTGCTAGGAAACCCCTAATTAAGGTGCAGGGAGAAGGGAAAACAAACAGCCAGGGACAGGCCCAACCTGAGAAACTGCCCGGGGTGGAGGGATGGCTAGGCAGACTGGGAGTGAGCAGCCAAGGAGAGATCAGAAGGGTCAGTTCTCTGCCCCTCAGGCCACTGGCATTCTTAGGATAAATACAACTTGGCCCAGAATGTGACCAGCATGGGTCCCGGGAATACCCCTCTTACTTTAATAAGAGTCCAGCATCAACTTCCCATCTCCCCCGGCTTCCCTGGACCCTCAGGGTACAGGATCTGAATTCCAGGAGCCCTGTACCTCACTGCTCAGGACACCAAGGCCCAGCCTGATGGGGAGACCCTGGCTACCATTAGAAAACCAGGCAATACTTAGGAGAACTGGACATTAAAAACAGATGTGAAAGTACTCCCTCAGACCCTGTAGTGCAGGACATTGGGGGCTGCCATTCAACTTGGGCTGAGGATACCTCCCATCTGTCCGCGGGGGTCTCCCTTCCCAAGTTACTCAGCAATCTGAGTAATTACTGCGTGACAAGAAGGCAGGCACAACGCACCCCCTACATTACACCACAACACCTGCCTACAGCCACCCCCAGCCTCTGGCTGGTCTCCAAAGCAGCACCCAATCCTGAAGCCTGAAATAACTGTTTCTCACAAGCCACCCAACTTTGCCTGAGATGTTGGAGTTTGTGGGGCAGGAGGTCATGAGGAGGCAGCTTGGGGAGGTGGAAGAAGAATTAGCATACCACATTCAGGTCCACACTTTACTGATATGCATTGTAACCATGAGCAAGATGTTCAACCTCTCTGGGCCTTAGTTTCATGGAGGACCTCTGCAGCTCTCAGTATCCTAGAGTTTAATGCTGGTATCTGTCAAACAATGCTCAGGTAGCATGTGAAGTCAGTTACAGGCTTACAGCTGGTGGAGGGAAGAAAAGGAATGCCTGCATTATCTTCTGTTCCCACCCCAAGAGGGACAAAGCTGAACTATCTTCTGAACATGATCCTTTCTCAGTTTCAAGCATTTGCACAGAAATTCTCTCCTTCCTGGAATGCTCTTTCCCCTTGGCCTAATGAACTCAGCCCTCAAGGGTAACCTCTGCTGTCCATGTTCCCTGGTTATCCTTTACCCTTTTACAGAGCTGGCAGAGTCCCTACCCACATGTTATAACTTCTGTCACATTCTAAGATGGCTTATAGGACTTTCTTCTTCCACTATGACATACCTTTTGCAAATCCAGACCTCTGCCCTTAGCTCAAACCTGGAGCCTCAGTGTCATTGAATTCGTATATAAGCACAAGAATAATGGCTTTCTTGTTTACCTTCCTATCGTGTCACATTCTCCTCCAAGAACACTTACATTAGATCTCTGCTTAGATGTCACTTGCTCAAAGCAGCTTTCCCTGACTTGTAGTCAAGCTCACTATCCTGCTTGTTTTTCTTCCAAACAACATCATATCATCCAGACTTTCCTCATTTGGTCGTTTTATAAAACGTAAATGAAGAGGACAGGGATCTTGTCTTTTTCATTGGCTGAATTTCCAGAAATAGTGCCCCACACCTTCAATAAATGTGTCTTGAATGAGTGACCTGGCCCACTCTTATTCTAGGCCAGTAGGGGGTGCCGGCCTCCACCCAGGATCTCGCGGGCTTGAACCTTCCCTACACTCAGTTCAATCGGGTCCCGCAGGGTGCCTCAGCGGTACCTCCTCCATTTTCTGAGAATCCCAGGGTGGGGTCGGTGTGGACTGAGATCAGAACCGCCCCCTACCCCAGGCGGATATAGCCCACCCGAACCCCGCACCGGTCCCATCCTACGGAGTTTGCAACTGGACCTCCCCGAATGCTTGCTACCCGGCACCTCTCCCCAAAAAAACTAGTGTCCTGGGACGCGGGATGAGGGATGTCTTGGGTTCGCCCGAGCTTTAGTGGGCTGGGAAGAGCCGTCGAACCTCGGACGAAGAAGTGGAGCTAGCCGGGGAGGAGATGGGGTAGGAGTGCGGACTTGTGATTCGGACTTTGGGTGGCGGTCCTTGGGTCCCCAGCCCGTAGTCAGGGCGCACGTTTTCAGTCGCTTCTCCAGATGACCTCCAGCCCGGAAGGGCGAGCGGGCGGGGGCTGGGCTGGGTTGGGCTGCAGCCCTGCTCAGAGAAGACTGCGGGGCTGGGGAGTGGCTCGACGACTGGCCCTGGGGCTGGGTCAGGTACTTGGACGGACGCGGGCAGAGGATCGTCCCCCGGGGCGGACGCCGCGAAAACACCTTGGGAGGCGGCGCCACACGGCTGAGCGTCGCTGCCCTGGGAATAGGACGGCGCTCGGCACCGCGAGCTGAGAACACTTTCATAAATTTTGTATGGGAGGCGCTCCGTGAGCGGGGGCGGGGAACGAAGCGGAGCAAGAGGGAGGGAGCTAGAGAGCGAGGGAGGGAGCGGGAGAGGGAGGGAGGAGGAGGTGGGGGAAGCCGGGGGGTGGTGGTGAGGAAGGGAGGCGCCCGGCTCCGCGGAACGCTCGGTCCTGCAAACGCGCGCCGGGCGCTTTCCATCGAGCTTGACTGTGCTTGCGAGCGCCCTTTTGCAGCAGCCGCCGCTGCTGCTGCCCGAGGGGGCGGAGAGGAAGGGGCCGCGGCTGACCCGCCGCGGGGCGGCGTCCCCCATCAAAACCGCCTGCAAAGTGCTCTGGGCGGCAGAAGCAGGCCGCCGGCTCCGCGGAGCAAGCTGCTCGCCCCGGGGCTGAGCGAGCGCACTGGGCTGCCAAGCAGTGCCGCGGTTGCTGCCGGGCGCCGGTGCCCTCGGCGCGGGGCTTGGACTCACCATGCCCCTGCGGGGCCGAGCCGCCGGGCACAAGCGGATCCCGGGTTTGCCCCCGCCTCGATGCGCTCGGATTAGCTGCAGCTGGCGCCCAGGGATTTGAATCTGGACCCCAGGAGGGAGCGCTCCTAGGCCGACCTCTGAGCGGCGGCCCCGCGGCCAACATGCTTCGCAAAGGTGAGTTGGAGCCTCAGGGGCAAGTTGGAGTTGGGTGTGCACGGGGCACAGCCACGAGCCCAGGAGCTGTCCGGCGCCGGGGCTCCGCTTCCGGAGGCAGTCCCCAGCGAGCTGGCGGGCTTTGTCGGACGCACCTACCTAGGGGCTGCTGTTGCAGCTTAGCTCCTATCGGTGCGATACACGGGCTTTGCTCCATGGATCAAGTGGCCGGGCCTAAGGATCTGGTTTAAAGGATAGGTCCGAGACTGGAGCGAGAGGCCCGTGGTAAAAGGGAGCTAGCCTCCTGGGACCTTTGATTTGCCATTATAAAGTTTTGCACTTGCAGGCTCCGTTCCCTGCGCTGGTACCCAACTCTGCTTCCGATGCTTCGGCAGGGCTAGGTCCAATCCGCGCTCCAGCGCAGCTAGCGGTCTATCACCGCGCGGCCCCGGCGCTCATCGCGCGCCCTTGCTCCCCAGGCGGGGCCCCAAACGCGGACACTTTCACAGTAGTCCTGTTTTATCCCCAGAGACGGGCTATGGGCACCCAGCAGCTGAGGGTGGGGTATGGCAAACGCCTGAAGTCCTGATCCTCAAACTTTCTTTATGCCTGGAGAGGAGGGACGCGAAGGCGAAAACCTTGCCCGTAGTGTGTGTGGCCGGTGCCAGGCTCAACTTAAGGAGAGCTGGCTCCACGACCAGCTCACCCGGACTCCTCAGCAACCCAGTCGGGTACCGACCGCTGCAAAGTTGGCGCGGGGACCGGGGAAGTCCCGCCGCGCCCCCACGTGGTTGCAGCGCGGGGTACAGTCCCTCGGGCCCAGAAAGGGCAGGTGACCACGCCGTGAGCCCACCGGCCCCGCCACCCGCCGCTCCAGCCTCGGCCTCTCTCCCCTCCAGATAGTAGCCGGCTGTGGTGCCCCGCTGGGACTCCCCTAGTTCTTGGCCCCGGCCAGGCGGCTGCCGAGCCTCGGCGCCTGCGGCTGGCTGCCCCGGCCCTGCGGGAGCCGGCTGAGGAGGGAGCTCAGGTAGCGGAGGGGCCTGATCCCTGCGCTCTGCGCTCCAGCCTTAATCCGCCCCTGTTTCCATGGCAACAGACCGAGGTGTCGTAAGCACAGGATTCTGACCTCACAGCAGGATGGGGAAGGAGAAAACTGGCAGGGGGAGGTGGCGGAGGTTGGGGGAAGCAGAGCCCTGAGATAGGCGAATAGAAGCGGATGTAAGGTGATAGAAAAGACCCAGATAAACTGGCCAGGCAGGTGGGTAAAGGAACCACGCCTTCAGTGGGGGCAGGAAAGGCTGAGCGGTGGTCCCTTCTTGCCCAAACGTGGAGATTGATTGCCCCATGATGTAGGAATAGTCACAAACTTGAGTGTGACTTGTGCCCTCCACGTGGGTCGGTACAGTGCCAGGGAAACACTGAGTGCCTTTTGCTGTGGTGTGGAAAAAGTCTGCTGCTGGCTGGAGAAACCACTTCACTGATACACCCCAGTTCCTTTTCCCTGCACAAAGGCACAAAAAGTCTTTTCAGCAAGCAGGCGGTGCTGACAGAGTGTCTCCACACAGAGAAGGCACTTTTTACAGAGCTGAGCACAAGCCCTGGTCTGTGAAGCTTGGGCCTGGAGCAGACGAACTTGCCTTCCTTGTGAGGGTTTCCCAGGCAATTTTGAAAGGCCACCATGTCTGGACTGTAGGTCTGTGATGGAGATAATAGAGAAGAACTGACATCTCATTTCCCTTTTGGTCTTTTGTCTTTTGGCAGTTTACTGTTAAAAATGAGCCACAAAGCAGCCCACACACTTTATTTATATGTTTTAGGTGCCCAGGAGGCTCTAGCATCCTCTAGGAGATTTCTCTCCTCTTCTTGCTAGCCAGGGTGCATTCTGGGGGCTGCTCCCTGAGGGGATGCTCCTAACCCTGCTCCAGAGGTAGCCACAGGAGACTTGACAGTCACGTGTGTTTGCCACTGGAGCTGTTTTTCCCTTCCTGCACTGCCTGGTTGGCGGGAGAGGTTCCACCAACAAAGAGGTTTGTACCTAGATTGACCAGAGGGAAGAAGGGCAAGGAAGTCCTTTTCAGGGCTCACCTTGGCTTGGGTGGCCTAGAGCCTGCTTCTGGGGCATTGTGTGGGCAAATGATTCTTGCTCTGATCCTTTCTTGGGTAGCTTTCTCTCTTGGCCCCTGATCCCTATCCCTTATGGTCTCTCTGGTACACATGTGTATATACAGGACACTCAGATTCTCTATGTGGATTCTAGGTGTGTACCTAAAGCTAAAAGTATGCCTCAGGCTAATGCCAAGGGAGGTGACCATTGAAGTGTCTGCTTCTAGAATTGTTCCCAAAGGCTCCAAGCAATAATGTTATAGGATGGATTGAGAAGGTTATTGTCTGTCAGATGCAAAGCCTGTATGAGGTCCTGGACCTGAGTGAGTTTAATAGCTTAATTATGGTTTTGAAAAGGGTTTGAAGGATGAAGAAAGAATAGCTCTCCCTGTATTCTTTTTTCTCTCTTACCTTTTTGCCAAGGATAGGGATCCTGTTTTATAATGGAGTGCTGTGTGGAATTAGGAGGCTCAGTAGTTTGAAGGCTCAGAGGAAGAAGAAAACAGGAGTAAGCTTTGGATCATGAGAGTCATCTCTCCTATTAAAGCTGTCCCCTGGAAGACGATTTTGGGAGGTTTTGGGGTACTACTTTACATCTGTCAATGAGCAGACTCTACTGGCCATAGTCTCACCTCTGTGGTGCTGCTAGCCCTGGTGGCTAAAGGATTCGGCAGCTGCTCTGACTGCTTTTCCATCTCCTGGCCTACCCTTGCAGAACCAGGGACATAAAAAGCCAATCTCTGGTCAAGAGATGATAGGCAGGCAGGGTAAGAAAGGCCCTGAGCCATCCAGTAATATCCAGGAAGGAAGGATGGCCTGCTAGGGGGGTTTGCTTTGCCAGAAGTGGCCTGCTTAAGGTCAGGATCTATGGTTTTCATTTTTAGAGCTATAAAAACAGAATGCAAATCAAGAGCCTCTGGGCTAACACAGAATCTTTCCTTAAAGTTTTTGTCTTGTTAAGCAAGGAAATAGAGTGCCAAATAGGCTTTGTTAAGTGGCAGTCTAATTAATAATTTAAAATCTTGTAGCTGTCTTTCATTAGAATTTATCTGTACATCAACCACAAAATCAGTCAAACACACTCATTTATAAGTTAATGCCATCCCTGAATAATTCAGCAAGAGCTAGATTAAGGCCTGCAACCCAGTAAGATGCATTTTGTTCTCTTGGTTTCCATAGCCAGACGGGCTGGCCTGGTGGCTGCATTGGGCTTCTCCTTTGTGGGAAGAAGGGAAGGCAAAGGGAGGTAGGGATCATGGTTTTGTCAGGCGATTGGTGAATTTGAGTTCAGAGATTCCCTGGGTGATTGGAGAGTCTCCTTGTGGCCAGGTGTGAGCAGGTTCCACCTCTGCCTCTTTGAGGTCAACCAAGACTCAGAGCTGTTGGTAATGGGGCCCTTCTTAGCCTCAATGGAGAAAAGAATGTTTCTTGGATGGTCAAGATACTTTCTTCTGCTATCAAGGAAGTGTAGAGGGGAAATTCAAGAGCCTTTCTCAAGAGGACTGAGACAGGAGGCTGTTTAGCCCAATCCAGGTGCAAAGGTGGAATTTCAGTCTTTCCAGCCTACTTCTGTCTCATCAAGGAATGTAGCCTGGTGGAACCAATCTCACCAAAATGCTTCCTCCAAGAGTAGCTTCTAATGGGCTACATCTCTCCTCAAAGCTCCTGGTCCTTATATCAGGAAAGAGAAGTCAAGAGGAAGAATTTTAGGGGAGTACTAGGACACCCCCAGCAGAGAGGAGAGGCAAAGGAAGTTGCTAAGTAAAGCCCATGCATGCGTGTTCTCAGCAGCAGCCAGAATAGAAGCAAGGCAATGCAATGTTCCCCCAGTGAGCTCAGACGACAAGAAAATGTGCTTTGGTTCAGTTCCTGTTATGCCAATATGGGGACAGTTCCTTACTGCAGAATCTTCAGGTACATTTTCTACAGGGACACGGTCTAGAACTCAAACTCCCAGCATGTGCACTGGTTCCTCCACTGCAGGAATGAGCCCCAGAGCTTCTGGTCTTTGCTTCTGCCTGCCAGCCCTGTGGAGGGTGAAATGCCACCATTTATAGACCAGGTAGAGATCCAGGGCAGACTTGATGCCAGGAGAGATGCTTGACCAAGTTTGAAACAAGGAAGTCTCCTTAGGAAAAGGAGAAGGCAGGGGAAGGGATAGGTGTTTGTCCCTTGACCCTGGGGCCGAGTTGACAGCATTCCCCGGGAAGGGGAGGCTTGTGGGGTGAATCCTACAGCAAGCTCTGGCTGTGTTTGGGATCAGGGCCTGGGAAGGACAGAGCAGTTGGCTCTGATGTGAGGAGAAGGAGGGGCAGGCGTCTTGAAGGATGTCAAGAACAGATCTGTTTGGTACCATCTGCAGCGAAGTAGTGGTTAAGGTTAAAGCAAAGAGGAGATGACAGGGAGGGAACAGATGGCCAAGGAAGCAAAATAGCTGGCGAAACGGGAACAGAGCCTCTAGGGATGGCAGAAGGCAGGACCTCCGCACTGAGTGCCGGAAGCAGCCCTTTCCTTGGGGTGTGTGATGGCCAGGCCACCCTGGGTAGAAGTGAGTCACAGAGAGAGGGGCAAGGCAGGGACCCCTGTGTGAGGGCTCCCCCAGGGCCTGTGGGAAGACCCAGGGAGCCACTAACTCCAAGGCTAAGGGTTCCAGGTGCAGGGACCTTCTTTGATGTTGATGAATTCAGATGAAAAGATATAGCTGTCTTAGTGTCCATCACTAAAGCAAGGTGAAGCTACCTTGGCTCTCACTGAGCATGCCTAGGGGAGCCTTCTGGGAGGAGCTATGATACCAGCTGAAAACAGGCAACAGGGAATGAACCGCTCTTCTCATCTACCTTGGATCCACTTATGTCAATCCTTGTACACATACGGATGATGGCTGCCTGTGTTTACTGAGCACTTACTACGGACCAAGC